AAAAAAACGCACACGAACGACCGATAACAGTCGGACATTGATGTTCGTGCCCAGCTCTGATCTAGATACCAAAAATTTTACAATTACCCAACACTGGTACGGAATGCCTTCTTCGTGATAACCATAATGATGTGTCACCAAATCCATCGAATGTGGAAAAATATCGATAAAAATGTCCATGCGATGAGCCAATGCGCCGCGTTTTAATATGAATTGAATGCAATAACAACCATAAAAATGCATGGACAATTCATGAATGTGGCCTTTCATTTTATTGAAGATGCGATTCTGAAGTGTTAAACAACGCATAAAATAGTAATATGTTAATAATCATCAAATATACATACGTTTATAAAGCCTTGGGAGAATTGACCAAGTTATAGTTTAAGTTTGCATACGATAAGTACACAAAGTAAATAATTCAGAATTAGGCGACAATTAAGTACAAAGGTCGTCTTATATTCAATGTGGTGAATTGGTTTGTTATTTAACGGAGAGCACATTAAAGATTGTCACCGTACATTCGGTCCATTTCGACGTGAGCTGCTGTGAGGAAAAGACGAAAGAAGAAACGTATCGGCCGTAGAATTTATTGCAAAGAACCGGAGCACATGAGCACGTTAGCGAACCACCAATTACGCCCTAGATCATACTTGGTGAAAATTTGATATTCCATTTTGACCAAATTACAGTTTGGCATTGTCGGTATCTTATTATTCATCTTATTATCTTATCATTCTAATAAGATCAAACTATACTATTACTTATTATTTTTTTGCACTAATAAGTATAGTAATAAGTATAGTTATTAGAATTTTACTAGTCAGAAGACTAATAAGATGCATGTATCTTATTAGTATAGTTATTAGTATAGTTTCTCATCAGTATATTTCGATTGGTGTTACTACGAGGGCTGCTCCATATTTCTAGAATTGGCAATATTTAGTGTTGTCCGATACAAACCATTGTCATATTCGTTAAGTTTAACATTTGGTAGCATAAACTATCTCAGAACGTTCTGTCATACGCGCGCTATTTGTATTGTTTACAGTGACATCTAAATTGCGTCTCAATAAAAAAATGAATTTTACTCGTGACGTATGAGCCCGAAACTAAACAGCAGTCGACAGTATGGGTCTTCCAAAGTGAAGATAATCCAACGAAAGTTGTTCGCGCTCGAAGTGTTGCGAAGCAAATGGTCGCCTGTTTTTTCGCAATTAGTGGACATGTGGCAACAGTTCCACTAGGGGATCTTAAGACCGTCAATTCTGATTGGTATACCACCATTTGTTTGCCCGAAGTTTTTGGTGAAATAAGAAAAAACAATCGCCGTCGCAAAATAATTCTTCATCATGATAATGCGAGCTCTCACACATCTCATCACACAACTGAATATTTGACCGCGATCGTTTATTTCGGCTTTAGTTTTCAATATTCGAGTCCAATTCAACAGCACCAAAATCGAACGATTTTCGACGCTGGATGACCAATGTTAAAAGCAATGGTTGACAATGATGGATCGTGTTGAAACTGTGGTGAATGCTCCGTAAACCATGGTAAATCATGTTTTGACACGTTTTACCATGATGGTCGCCCTCAAAATCGATGGTAAATCATGTTTTAACAGTTTTTACCATTATGGCCGACTTGTGAACCGTATTAAATCATGTTTTGACACTTTTTACCATGATGATCGACCTCAAAATCTATGGTAAATCATGTTTTGACAAATTTTACCATTTTAAATGGTTTTAGACTACGATGTACCATCATGTCTGACCTCAATAACCGTGCTATATGGTGTTATACCACGATGGACCGTGATATCCAACCTTAATAACCATGCTAAATGATGTTAAAATCGCTTAAATCGTTAAATTTTACATTTCAAACCAGTTACCACGGTCCATCATGGTCGGCCATCACGGTTACCACGGTTTACCACGGTCCATTCTCATCTTTTGACAATAAAATGTGCAAAGTTTAGGCAAAATATGGTAAAAATACAAATGATTACGCTGGAGGAGAGACGCAAGATGACACAAGTGTCTTTCATCTTCAAAATAATTCATGGAGATATGAAGTCGAGTCATATATCAAACAGTTTAAATTATTATGATTCAGCACATAATACCCGTGCAATACCGCTTTTTGATATTCTAATTAGAGGAAGCGATTATTACATAAAGTATGCACACAAAAATATTTTTTGGGACTCTTTACTCAAAAAACCTGTATTATATGTAAAAAAAACATTTACAACATTCAATAGTTTACAGAAACACGCCAAGAACTGCCAAAATACAAATAAAGTGAAAAATGTTGATATTGTTACCGACAAATTAAGTCATTTAAATTTGAATTCATGTGTATGTAGTCTCTTATTCGTTAAGCGAATTCATTGTGAGCGAATATACTACAGGTTTTTTGAGTAACGAGTCCCAAAAAATATTTATGTGTGTGAGCCAATTAAAATCAGTGCTTATAAAACGCACGCTCAACGCGATACGTAACTCAATGTGCTGAGTTTTCGAATGCACGGTGCGCGTGTCCACTCACCGAACAAGTGTGAGAGCAACTCACTACTCGCTCAAGTCACATTGTGAGTGAGCTAAATCTCGCTCACACCAAAAATACATTCATTTAAAAATTAACATATCTATCATAAAAATTGAAATATCATCGATGGGTTTGAGTCAGAGGAGGTCAGTATAGGTGAAATTCAAGCAGCTATTTCGAAGTTAAAATGGGGCAAAGCAGCAGGCGTGGACGAAGTCCGCAACGAATTCCTATTGAGTAGTGGAGTAGTTGGAGTTAAATGGTTACATCGTATTTTTAATCTCGCTTGGGGCTCTTCTGTTGTTCCTTTAGACTGGGGCGTTGTAGTAATTTCTCCTCTTCATAAGAAAGGCAGTAATAAAGACTGCAATAATTATCGTGGAATTTCTCTATTGAGTGTTGTCGGAAAATTTTATAGTTCAATTTCGGAAAAACGAACCAGAGCTATTGTTGAACAGCTTCTGGATGAAAATCAATCGGGATTCCGCCCTATGCGGGGTTGCCAAGACCAAATTTTTGTTTTGAGACAGCTGCAAGAGAAATTCCATGAGAAAAATAAGGATTTGTTTTTGTGTTTCGTTGATTTGCAGAAGGCTTATGATTGTTTTCCAAGATCTAAGTTGTGGTCGGTTTTAGCCGAATATGGAATAAATGGGTCTCTTCTTAGGGCAATTAAAAGTTTGTACGCAAACAGTAAAGCATCAGTTAGAGTGGATGGTGATTTGAGCGAATGGTTTGAGGTGCGTAATGGTCTTAGACAGGGCTGTACAATTTCACCTCTTCTGTTTATTATTTATATGGATAAGCTGATAAAATCAGGAAGATTGAAGATGACAAGTTTGAAAAAGAGTTTGAACAACGTAGAATGAATGGAAATAAGGTAGTAGCACAGCTTAGATCACACGTTTTCAATAAGCGTGAGTTGAGTAATGAGGCGAAATTGTTAATTCATCAGTCAATCTTCAGACCAACTATCCTTTACGGAAGCGAGAGCTGGGTTGATTCTCAAAATTTAATCCATGGATTGGAAGTGGCTGATATGAAAGTTTTACGAATGATTTCTGGAGTATCGCGCAGAGACCAATGGGAAAATCGTATAAGAAATGAGAGAATTAGAGATGATTTGAATGCTGTGTCGGTGGATGAAGTTGCAAGAATGTCGAGACTGAGATGGTTTGGACATGTCCAACGTATGGGTGAGTTGCGTTTGTCAAAGAAGATTTTGTATGCCGATGCAGATGGACCGAGAAACAGAGGAAGACCTCGTAGACGTTATTTGGATTCGGTTAAATGTGATTTGGATGTTAGAGGGTATGATTGGTGTAGAGTAGCCAAGACCTGGCTCTCGATAGGGAAGTTTGGAGAGGAATTGTAAGAGGAATTCGAGTCTAGTCGTTTCGCAAAAGACCACACACCGAAAGGTACAATCGGTCTATAAATGATTATTGTTGTTATTGTGAGCCAATTAAATATGCTTATTACATTCAATGATTATTATACAAAGAAAATACCAAAATGTGATACTGATTCAATTGATTTAGAAGTAAGTTTATCGACGGTTAAACTGAGAATTGAGAAATGTTTCTACCATTGATAACAATATTATTATTATTTTTTTCAGACTTGACATTGAAAAAACACAATAACAAGTCATGTAGAATGACGCAAAATGTATTGCTGGTGTTTTCACTTGTTCAAATAACATGCATA